AGAAACAAAGAGGGACGCAGGAGGAACATAGATGGATAAAAATGCGCCACCAACCCAGTGGAGACTATTTCCTACTGCTAGATGCAGCCTTAACAGAATCAATTTCTACTTTTTATATTTATCAGAAATAAAGATTAGGGCTTTCAGAAACGAATACTGTGTCAAACTTATATCCCAAGAAGGAACATTAAAAAAAAAAAAAGAGGAGAGAAGAAATTAATTATTAAAAATTAATCCCGCTGCAGAAGCACAAGGATACAGTCCCTTCCTGGAAAGAGGATTTTGTGGCAAACCATTTCTCCCATAATGCACCCAACAGACCATAAATCCACTATGTTTGTAGCACAAAAAGAAGAAGCAAAGCAAACTGTCACTAGAAATTAAAAGAAGCAGCAGGACATGACTGCATCTTATGGCAAGGAAAGCATTGACAAAAGGGAAAAGGAACCATGAGATCAAGGCGTGAATGTATTTTCAGAACATACATGTGACTCCCACGGCAAAAACATCTTCTGCGCAAGGAAAACAGAAGGAGAGACTGCTGTGGGATAGCATCTTCTTGCACTGATCCCTTTTTGCATAAGGTACATCGGTTTTAGAATAAATTCTAACACTTTCAGAATTCTTGCATTATAATCTAGCTCAAATAAAAGATAAATAGTAAGAAACTGAATTATTTAACAAAACTAATACAGAAGCACAAATTTTATTAGCAACGAGAATCAATAATAGGCTGCTTAAAAATTAATAAACTAAATTAGTGTCAAAAATTGAGGTTTTATGATCAAAAGGGATCAATTTTTCCAGAGAGGTGGCAGTGTGGGTATGCTTCCCCCCCCCTCCTGGAGAGAATGCCCTATGAGTGTATTTTTGGATCCAGTCTTGCTATCGGAAGCAAGGGATGGTACCTTCCACAGTGCTAATAGGCTCCTCTGGTGGCAGACCTGGCTGGGTCTGGGCCCAGAAGCTAAGCTGGGTCAGGTCAGGTCAGGTCAGCACATCAAGGGGACACCTGCCCTGCCCCCCCCCCACTCCCCCAGGGCTGGAGTGGAAGGAGGCCATAGTGAGCACTTCCACCCTGGGCCAAGACAACAGCATGCCTGGACCCAGAAACTGAGCTGAAGGAAATTTTGCTTTTATTTTTCTTGCACTGAGATAAGCAACAATTATTCATGCTGAGGTAATATATGTGACCTTGTTAGGTGTTCCTGTTCAGAAGATTGTTCAAAAGTGCTCTTGGTTCACACACACACACACACACACACAGTGTGTTATGTGGAAAGACTGAGCAATTGCCTCAAGCCAAGTGTGGCTCCTGAGGTTCACAGCATTTTCTTAGCAACAAAATCTAAAATAGTTTGCCCTTCCTTCTTCGGCTTTCTAATCTAGAGTCCCAGCCCTGGGGATCCCTGGCCTTTCCTCCCCATTCAAGTGACCAGATCGCTGCCTGCCTGGGGGGNGGGGGGGAGGGATGAACCACAGAGATGCAGAGGCATCTGCAGAAGGAAGGAACCATCCGGCTTCAGGCCGAGGGAACTTCCCTTTCCTCCAGCTGAAGCGCAGGGAGGGCAGAGCAAGGACAGGGCAATCCCAGCCATTCCTGGGGCAGAAGTTCCTCTGGGGACCAGGAAAGGGCTTCTTTTCTCCCAGCCCCTTTTTTAATATATTGTTCTGATATGTTATGACTCACTTACCTACTAGAAGTATTCCTACACTGCATTTCATGAAAAGAAAATTCCTTTCAGTGAAGTAAAAAGAACAAAATTGCAGACAAACAAGATGAAAGCAAACTATGAGAGAATGCCAGGGAGACCCTGAACGTCCCTTTCGTAATCCGTCTCCAGCAAAGTGCCCTCAGTCCTCAACCCCTGGAGGTGACCAAGGACGATACTGCCGTGGGTGTTATCAAAATCAGCTTAGGGATCAAGGAAGGGCTGTTGAGAAGAGGTAGCACTTAATCACAGAGAAAGTGGCCCCCTTGACCTTCCAGGTGTTTTGCAAGTATATTACCTGCACGTCTCTATGGTTTATAAAAACACGGTTAGCAGAGTAAATCATATATACTAACCCTCAGGAAGCATTCAAAAGGGCTCCACCGGAGGCCTATAGGGACAATAAGTAAAGCTACTTAACTATTCTCATCTTTAGGCAACAGTCAAGACTCCGGGGTCCAACCTCTGCCAGATCAACTGTGTGAGGAGCCCCTTCTGCCACCGATACCTCAGCCCTCTTTCTCTTCTCCTCCTCCTCCTCCTCCTCTCTGCATATATATATATATATGTTAAAAAATTCTTTAAAAATGTGATCCCTAGGTAAATTTTAATATTAAATTATTTTATTATATTCCCTGGTGCTCGTGTTTGGGTAAGATAGGTTTGTTTAAAATAAAATATATTTCCACAGATATTATGAAAATATCTATGATTTCTTCTTCTAGAATTGATATTTAAAGTTTTACATTATTTGTATGAGTAAACATAAATGTATACATAAATATCAAAAACCTGAATGGGATATATGGAGCATTAAACTATTATTCACTTAAGAGTTTGGAGCAAAAGCAAACCTTCCTCTAATATGAAAGTTTTTAATAAATATGACCGATCATTACATGCAATAATTCATTTGTTTTGAAGCTTGTGAACAGTGTGAATTAGCACACAACTTCACCATGAATAATTATGAGCCCTAGTATTATACATAAAGGCATCTTCTCCTCATTCCTTCAACGTCACAGCTTTCAACCCACAACAATGGCACTGTGTCAAAAGTAGGTTTTTTGTAGCTGTGAAAGTGGGGAAAGCTCAAAGGCAGCCCATGGAATATTGTATTTGTGTCCTGCGTAATGGGCCGATAAAATAACGGGCGTAGATGTTTTCTTCTATCCTTTGTTTCAAACTGGGCAGTGTTAACTAGTGCCAGCAACTCTGGCTACTGACCGAGGGCTAAACTGCCCAACGCAGCAAGCAGGAGCGGCAACTGACCTGCTCACTCGCCTGCAGCAGCCCCCCCCCCGGCAGCCCTCACGCCTTCATGGCCTCAGAGGAGCCGCTCAACGATGGCAACCAGGACGCGAGCCGGCACTAAGCAGCACTGTCACATGGCACCGCACTTTAAGAGCACGTCACAGACATGGCAGGCCCAGTTCCTCTCGTTAAGCAAGGACTTCCTGTACACAGTTCAAGCTTAATTTTAGCCACTTCGTAGAAGTTACTTTTCCCATTTGAAGAAAATGTTTTGTGCAAGAAACTAAGCGCTGTGTCCCAACATTATCAACCTAACATTTCCTAAGATGTTTCCAACATGGAACACTGAGACTAAACATACAGCACCTTTCGATAATGCATTAGGTTTCAACAGCTAAACAAAACATAAAACGAGGCACATGACAAGATGAGAGAGAGACCCACGGAATGGAATTTAAAAAGGCATTTTCTAGGAACCAAAATGTAAAACTTCTAACCGTTTTCTTTGTACCCCATTCCAAGAATGACTTCGGGTGCTCTGTAGTAGCGCGTCACGACGTAAGGTGTCATCATAAAGCTGGTCCCAGCTGTTCTGGCCAGCCCAAAATCTAGGATCTTCAGCGTGCAGTCAGCTTTCACTACAATATTGCTAGGTTTTAAATCCTTTGAAGAGAAAGATACGGAATAGGAGACCTCCAAGGAATATCAAGCAGACTACAAAAGAGAAATTAGCTCAACAACTATGACTGCACTCGGCATCATCTATGAAAACAGCACCATAACTTTTGTAAGTTATTACATAGATTCATCTCTTAGCTGTCAGCTCTGAAATTTACAGGAAGGGCCACTGCTGGCCCTGGCCCTTCCTGGACGAGACGTAACACCATTTGCGCCGTTCATTTAATAAGGAACAGGGATTAGTCATGGAACCACTTACAAAGCAACTCCAGGCAGTAGTCCTTTCCTACTCTCCAGGAAATAAATTCAACACGTTTGAGCTAACCGAAGGAAATTATGCAAAAAAAGTAAAGTCTTCCTCCAGCTGTGTTCAACTCCTGGCTTAGCCTTCCAGGTAAACCAGACAGAAAACAGGATGTCATCCGCACATTCTATTATACCTGGTAAATTTTTTGCCTTTTTTCCAGGATCCTTTTCAGAATTTCCAGTCAAATTTCTTTATAGTGCACAGCCCTAGCATTCCCTGATCCTCTCATTCCAAATGCTTCATCGGATCCAGCCCTGCTTAGCTTTTCCAATAACATCTCTGGTTGGCTACGAAGCACCTCCTTCAGGGAACTTCTTGGACATTTTTAAATACAGGAGACAAATGAAATGTGCTTTTTTCACAGCAGAGTCGCCCTTAAATCCAGAACATTTAGAGATTAATTAAAAAGCATCCATCTTAGAATGCGGTCATTTACCATGCCCAGACTTAAATTGTACTGAGAAGATGATTTAAGAATCATCAGTTAATTAAGAGCAAATGACACAAATACTAGTCAAGTGTTATATTTGAGAGGAAGCTTGTAAAACTGGCACAGATGGCCTTTCAGGTATATTAAAATCTGCCTAGCTTAATGGAGAAAAATTACACGACACGTGAAAGGGAAGGCGCGGTCTCACCCACCCTGTGTATGATTCCAGCCGAGTGAAGGTGCTTGATGCCACACAGCATCTGGTACAGCAGGTAGGACATTCGTTCGTGGTCAAGCTCCATCTGGATCACTTGGCAGAGATTGGCGTCCATGAGCTCCATCACGATGTAACTTTGGAGGGGAGACAGAACAGGCAACAAAATCACCGCAGAACATTTCACCCTATCGTCAGTTATGTGCTACTACGGCTAACACAGCCTTTCTGAAATTCATACTTACACATCTTGGAATTCTTCCAGTGATTTCTGTGGGGTGAACACGTTTAACAGGCCAATTATCTATGAAGAAGAAGAAAGCACATAAGCACACAATTTTTGATTATCATTTATATAAAAAGTAAAATAAGCAGCAAAACTGGAAAATCTGATCAACTTAGTCTTAAGAGCACTAAAATCTCCATATTGTTTTCTTATTTACACTTAGGTTACAATACCAATCAATTTTATCCTTATTGTTGAAAAATGCCCAGATTTAGAATTTGGTGGTCTACAATGGGAAAAGAGAAAATCCTTCCTGAGTAGAATTAGTGCAAAATTAACTTGAATAAACAAACAAGAAAACAACTCAGATGACAGGTGTATTATTGTGAGAAAAATAATACCTAAAAAGAGCAAGTGGATTATGCAGGCAAATCTGAGGCCTCTCTCTCTCTTCCTTAACTAGGCACAATTTCTAAAACATAAAGAACCAAGAGAAATTTGTTCAACTGACTCTCAATTTAACTTAATGCCAGGTATAAATAAATCTATAGAGCTACATAATATTCACCCAGAAAATTCAGACAAAAGAGACATGATCTTTGAAAAGAAACCTTTTGTAGTCTCGGGTTTTCCCCATGTAAAATAAAATGGCTGTCCTGTGCAGGATTCCAGTTAATTATTTGTTTTTCTAGAAAGTCAGGAAGTTCAGGGCTGAGAAATCATTCACTCTGGGCATATTTGAAGCCAAAGGAGAAGGTTCAAAAACCACCCATCTTTTCTCAGCTAGCGAACAGTTGAGCCATGGCAGTTCTGGGGCCAGAGAGGAAGCAGGCAGGAGGCTCAAGACTCGCGTTCCCTCCTTCCCGGAGACTTTAGCTCCGTCGCTTTCTCCCGGCCCGTCCTACTAAGGACGGCATGGGAATAAAACGAGGGGAGACCTGATAGAACGGCTTTAGCCTTCAACAACAACAACAAAAAAAGGCAGGACAGATTTTCAATAAATCAATTCAAATTATAAATCCAACCCTTCCCTGTGACAGTTATACCTTGTGGTTTAGTCTTCTTAATTTATCTTTACCCTTGAATGGTAAAGAAAGCAAAAGGATCAAATCCTAAAGGACAATTCTGATATCATCTTTAAGTCTTCACAGATAGACTTACATTTTTGTGGTTGACACACTTCATGAGGACCAGTTCTCGATAGGCTCTTTTAGCATGTGTTTGATTCTGAAACGGTCGACTGAGTTTCTTGATTGCAACATTTCTTTCAAGAAGAGCATCATAAGCTGCACTGTGGATAAAAGAGAGCTGCCCTAGTCCACAAGCAGGCTGCCGGGCACCGCCAGAAATGGATTCAAAAGCTCCTCATCAAAATTATATTAGCGGTATATGATTTCAGTTTAGGGGAGATGTTAGAATTCAATAAGGGGATACACAAGACCTGAAGCATAAACTTTAGTTATGAACCCAAGCAGAAATCTGGAGCCAGATCAAGCAGAGTAAATTCTACACTTACTACAATATAAGCTATTAATATTTTTGTTCTTCTCCAGAGGAGTGAGTGACAGGGATAGGGTCTCTTCTATGGGACTAAATGCTTCTGATTTTTCCAGAGAATAGAGCCCATCTCTTCTTCAACCCTCAATGGCTTCAATTCAATACAACTGCTGCCAACTACCTTTTCCCCCACCACCACCAAAAAGTTAACACTTTTAAGAATTTAACAGAATGTACCATCCTCTGGAAGCACCATCTGGAATTAAGAGCAACTTCATGTGGGGAAAAAAAACCCTTGGCGTGAAAGAATCTCCCCTCTTTTCCCGAGTCCACAGAGGCCTATGAGCAGCCCCTGCTGAAATGCAGATCAGGCTTGATGGCTGCCAGCCATGAGACCAAGGATCCCACCTGTCAGAAAACAAACAGGCTGGAGTTTCCTCCTCCTTACTGCTTCCCACCTGACACTCTGGTTCTACCCAAGGAGGAGCTGGGAGTCTTTTGTCTGATGGAAAAATTGAGGGGTATTGAGGGGGGGGGGATTCTTCTGTCCCAGGGAAGACTAGATGGTAAATGCACAGCAGGGGTGTGTGCCGGGTGGGAAAAAGACTGTTTCACTCCGTCTGAAGCAGGGATGGTGTCTGGTCCAAGAAGAGGGTCAAATGGTGGCAGAATGCTGGCTGAAAGGGGCTGAAAGCCAGAATAAAAGCAGGACCCCTTGAAGGCAAACGNCTCGTCGCTCCCACGTAACACCGCTGCTGCGCGAGCTGCACTGGTTACCAGTGGCCTTCCGGGTGCGCTTTAAGGTGTTAGTTACCACCTTTAAAGCGCTCCATGGCATCGGACCTGGATATCTCCGAGACCGCCTTCTGCCACAGATTTCCTCTCACAGACCAGTACGCTCCCACAGAGCGGGCCTCCTCAGGGTGCCATCGGCCAAGCAGTGTCGGCTGGCGACCCCCAGGGGGAGAGCCTTCTCTGTGGGTGCCCCCACCCTCTGGAACGAACTACCCCCCCGAGATCCGGACGATTCCGGATCTCCTATCTTTTCGCCGCGCCCTCAAGACATGGCTTTTTCAGCAAGCGGGTCTGGCCTAGGGAGAATTTTAAATAGGGACAATTTTAATTGGAATTTTAATTAACACAGCGATAAATATTTGTTTTTAATTGGTTTTTATTGGGGATAATGTTTGTGTTGTTTTTAATATGCTGTGAGCCGCCCTGAGTCCCGTTGGGAGAAGGGCGGCATATAAGTTTAATAATAAAAAAAAAACCCTTCCCTGTGACAGTTATACCTTGTGGTTTAGTCTTCTTAATTTATCTTTACCCTTGAATGGTAAAGAAAGCAAAAGGATCAAATCCTAAAGGACAATTCTGATATCATCTTTAAGTCTTCACAGATAGACTTACATTTTTGTGGTTGACACACTTCATGAGGACCAGTTCTCGATAGGCTCTTTTAGCATGTGTTTGATTCTGAAACGGTCGACTGAGTTTCTTGATTGCAACATTTCTTTCAAGAAGAGCATCATAAGCTGCACTGTGGATAAAAGAGAGCTGCCATAGTCCACAAGCAGGCTGCCGGGCACCGCCAGAAATGGATTCAAAAGCTCCTCATCAAAATTATATTAGCGGTATATGATTTCAGTTTAGGGGAGATGTTAGAATTCAATAAGGGGATACACAAGACCTGAAGCATAAACTTTAGTTATGAACCCAAGCAGAAATCTGGAGCCAGATCAAGCAGAGTAAATTCTACACTTACTACAATATAAGCTATTAATATTTTTGTTCTTCTCCAGAGGAGTGAGTGACAGGGATAGGGTCTCTTCTATGGGACTAAATGCTTCTGATTTTTCCAGAGAATAGAGCCCGTCTCTTCTTCAACCCTCAATGGCTTCAATTCAATACAACTGCGGCCACCTACCTTTTCCCCCCCCACCACCAAAAAGTAACACTTTTAAGAATTTAACAGAATGTACCATCCTCTGGAAGCACCATCTGGAATTAAGAGCAACTTCATGTGGGGGAAAAAACCCCTTGGCGTGAAAGAATCTCCCCTCTTTTCCCAAGTCCACAGAGGCCTATGAGCAGCCCCTGCTGAAATGCAGATCAGGCTTGATGGCTGCCAGCCATGAGACCAAGGATCCCACCTGTCAGAAAACAAACAGGCTGGAGTTTCCTCCTCCTTACTGCTTCCCACCTGACACTCTGGTTCTACCCAAGGAGGAGCTGGGAGTCTTTTGTCTGATGGAAAAATTGAGGGGTATTGAGGGGGGGGGATTCTTCTGTCCCAGGGAAGACTAGATGGTAAATGCACAGCAGGGGTGTGTGCCGGGTGGGAAAAAGACTGTTTCACTCCGTCTGAAGCAGGGATGGTGTCTGGTCCAAGAAGAGGGTCAAATGGTGGCAGAATGCTGGCTGAAAGGGGCTGAAAGCCAGAATAAAAGCAGGACCCCTTGAAGGCAAACG